AACATATATAGAAAACAAATAGCAAAATGACAGAAGTCCCTGCAAATCAGTAATTACTTTGCATATAAATGAATTAAACTTCCCAATCAAAAGACAGAGATTGACAGAATGGATTTTAACAAAACATAATACAACTATATGCTGTCTACAAGAGACTGACTTTAGATCCAAAGATGCAAATAGACTGAAAGTAAAAGGATGGAAAATTATCTCTCATGCAAATAGTAACCAAAAGCGAGTAGGATGGCTCTCTTACAATGATTCAACTTACAATTTTTCAGCTTTATGATGCAATACACATTCAATAGAAACTCTATTTCAAGTACCCATGCAACCATTCTGTTTTTCATTTTCAGTATTCAATAAATTATGTAAAATATTAACACTTAATTAAAAAGTAGGCTTGTGTTAGATGAATTTGCCCAACTGTAGGCTAATGTAAGTGTTCTAAGAATGTTAAAGGTAGGCTAAGCTATGATGCTCTATAGGTTAGGTGTAGTAAATGCATTTTTGACTTAAATTATTTTCAACTTACAATGAATTTATTAGCATGTATTCCCCTCATAAGTTGAGGAGCATCTGTATCAGATAAAATAGACTTTAAACCAAAAAAAGGCTAGAAGAGATACAGGACATTATATATTAATAAAAGGTTCAATACAGCAAAAATATATAACTATTATAAACATTTACACACCTAATGACAGTCAGCCAAAATATATGTGAAGCAAAAACTGACAGAATTGAAGGGAGAAATAGACTGTTCTGCACTAATAGTTGAAGATTTCAATACCCCACTCTCAATAATGGATAAAGCAACTAGACAGAAGATAAGTAAGGAAATAGAGAAACAACACAACACCACTCCTGGGTATAAACTCAAGAGAACTGGAAACATGTCCACACAAAAACTCATACATGAATTTTTATAGCAGCATATTCACAATAGCTTGGAAGCAATCCAAGTGTCCACCAATGGGTGACTGGAGAAAGAAGATGTGATATATCAATACAGTGAAACATTACTCAGCACTGAAAAAGGAATGAACTATTGACACATGCTATGACATGGATGCATCGTGAAAACATCATGCAAAGTGAAAGAAGCCACACACAAGACCACAGATCGTATGACGCCCCTTATGGGAAAGGTTCAGAAAAGGAAAACCCACAGAGACAGAAAACACTAGCTTTGGCCAGGAGCTAAGGTATAGGGGAAATAGGGAGCAAGGGATATTACATTTCTCTTTGCAGTGATGAAAATATTCTAAAATTAGATAGTCATTGCACAGCTCTGTGAATATATATTAAAACTGAACTGTACACATGAAAAGGGTGAATTTCATGGTATGTCGATTATACCTCAAAAAAAGCAGCTGTTTTTAAAAAGTGAATGAGAGGGATAATGCATTTTTATCTGAAATTGAAGATGTAGGATCTGGTTATCAACGATGTGATGAGAGAACAGAACACTTGAAGCTTTCAGCACATCACTCTCTTGTCACTTTAGTTCCTGATCAGAGTTTCTAGGTTATTTTATTATGTACTGTATTGTCTTTAACCCAAAGGGTCTTGGTTGACCAAAGAGTCTTTCCCTCTCCTTAAAGTTCACCATACGTTTAAACATTTATAAAATATATAAGGAGAAAGGGGTAAAACCCAGATAGAGATTGCAACCTGGGAAAATTCCTTGCTGAAACAGCATGAAAGTTAACTGTGGGCTTTTCCTTTTCCACATTACAACTGGTTTTCAAATGCAACTGATGAAACTCCAGACAGAACAGACGTCACATAAAGCCTATTTCACATTCACAAAGCCCATCTGTGCTACACAGTGTAACATGGGGGTATTATGGTTAAAACTTTGGAAACTGCAGTATTCTACGTGCTGGTGTGACATGAAGGACCCCCAGGAGGGACTGTCTTAGGGAAAGACTATTACGTGGCACCTTTTACCGGGAGTTTGTCCTTTGGTTTCCTACCCAGGATATCTGGGTAGCTCAGAGTGTCTGGCCACTGTATCTTAGGACTGAAGTGGACTTACATAAGTTTTATATATGCTAGAAATTTAAACTAACATCATAATTAGAAAATAATAACAAAAGGAGGGTGTTAGGTCCGCGGATTCCATCCTACACATACTTTCCGGGTTCCCACCCCGAGCAAGCCTAACAGAAGGGATAAAAGTAAATTCTCTGCCAGGTGTTAATACAGATACAACACATTAAATGATACTTTAAATAAAATTGGTTAAATAAATACCAAGTGGCAGAAGTGTGATCAAGTATCACTAACAAAAGTCATAAATCAGATATTAAACATTTGAAATGCTGCAGTTCATTTATTTATTCATTCAACTAATATTTTATTGAGCACAGGCTATACAGGAATAAAAAATAAAAGTCTACTCTTTCTGTTCTCCTGGAGCTTAAAATTTGTTCAGTGATGCTCCTACTACAGCAAAGCGATAAAATTAAATGAGGAAGCATGAAAAACTTAAAAGAGCACTAATCTTGGAGTCCTAAGATCTAAATCCCAATTTCATGTCTACCAGTTACTAGGCAAGTGATATTGGATATGTCGACTCAAGTTCTCTAAGCCTCAATTTCATGAGGTTATCATATACCTTGAAAAATGGTGTGCGATATTATGTGTTTTGTTTATCTCATCAGTTAACTGTAAGGATCACAAAGAAAATAATCCAACATGCCTTGAAAATTGTTAAAGTTCTATGATCCCGGGCTGGCGCTATTACTGAAATGTATGGAAAACCATCAAATTCCTTGGCAATAAATAATTTTAGTTAATGTAGATAGTATATGGAGAGTCTATGTAGTCTGACAGTAAAGCTCAATGCTAACTGTCAAGTGCATTAACAACAAGAAATGACACATATTCAAAGGTTTTGGCCTTTCTCCATTTAACTAACCAGTCTAATTTCACCTGGATTTCCTTTACATGTCAAATTATGCTCATATTCTTAAGCAATGTTCCAGCTGTAAGGAGAGAAAATGAGTCAAACAGACTTCTACCAAACTTCTCATCTGAGCAACAACTGCCATATGTTTCTTTACCCTTCAGGGTATGTGTTTGTCAACTCAATTTGAATCTTAACAAACAACGAAAGCTTCAAAATGCAGACAAATCCTCTTACTAGAAGAAAATAACAATTGCTGTAATTGCAACCACATTAACTGGACTGAGTTTCAGTTTAAATTATTTCTGTACTTCTGACAGAAAACACTGTCCTTAGGAATAATGAAGTGCTTAAGACATTACCGAAACAAAAAACCTCAAAATTAAACTTGTGAGGGAAATAAATTAACTTGGCATGATCCTGGTTTGCAGTATTATTGTCAGTTAATGAACACAAATCCGTGTGAATCACTGGTGAACACTAAGCATAAGAAACAGTTAATACCTAAAGGTGCTGTGTGAAACAATGGAATCCAGTCTTTTTTGGGCTGGAGAAATAGAATAAACCTGCTTTCCCTCAAACACCGGCAAACGTATACTGTGATAGCCAAAAGTCAACTTAATCCTTCCCTTCCTGGCTCAGAATAAAAATAAATACTCTGTCTCAGACCTAAGATGTGATACCCCTTTGTGGGTTTTCTTGAAAGGGAGAGGAGCAAACAAGAAAATGACCATGGACGGATGAGCTCAGTATAATTTTCAGTCCCATAACCTTGTTTTAGGAAGTAGACAATGAGAGGCAAGACAACTGCGGAGAAAGCTTTGACAGTGACTGTGCTCTGAGTACTTTTTATGAGCACTGATTGGATCAGGGCTGAAGCTCCTCAACATTTTCCGCACAAATACGCTCCCACCAAGTATTCTGGAAGTAACTATGCTGAAGATCTGCAGGGTATCGAGGGACTGAATCACACTCCAGAGCATGTCCTCTGCCTCATCTCACCATCTCATCGTGCCTCAGGTCCCCTCTCCCTCTCTCTCCCCCAACTCTGTTTCTGGAATAACTAACCAGTCCCTCCCTTTGTCCTCTGGCAGAAGAGTTTCACACATGCCATTTTTCTCAAGGTGTGATTATTTGTCATTCACCAACATGTAAAATAAATTGCACAGCCGATAAAAAAGGGAGAAGAGAGAAGTAAGATTTAAAGAAAAAAAAGAACACATTAACACCTCAAAAGCAAATGGGGAGGCCAGCTCCCATCAAATCACTTGGCATCCTGTTATTGAATCTGTCCTCTAGCAAGGGACCAACAACTACATAAGTAACTTCACTTCCTTATTAACTATCTCAAAATAAGTAACTTAAAACTAAAAACAAAGCTGGGTGCCGTGGCTCATGCCTATAATCCCAGCACTTTGGCAGGCCGAGGTAGAAGGATCACTGCGGGTCAGGATTCAAGACCAGCCTTAGCAATAGCCAGACCCCTGTCTCTACCAAGAAAGACGAAAAAAAGAAAGGCAAGAAAGAAAGGAGGGCAGGGAAGGAAGGCAAAAAAAGGAAAGGAAAAGGAAAAGGAGGATTATCCCAGGGTGGTCGTGCACACATGTAGCCCCAGCTACTACAGAAGCTGAGGCAGGAGGATAGTTTGAGTTTGAGGATGGAGTGTGCTATGATGATACCACTAGACTCTAGCCCTGGCAACAGAGTGAGACTCTGTCTCAAAAAAAAAAAAAAAAAAAAAAAGCATCCTTCGAAACAGAAGCACAAACTTTCATAAGTAAAGCCACTAAAAACTCAATACCACTATATTGAGGCCAGCAGCACAAATTTTCATACCTCAGAAATGTTCAGGGGCATTGATAAATTTTCATTTTTTCTCAGTCCCTATCCGGACAGCTGAGCCGACAGCATTTTGTGTTTAAGAATAGGGCACTCAGCCAGGCTTCCCAGATAACTGAGTGGAAATTTGCCTGGGGGACCTGTGAGTGACTATGAATTAGAGCATTGGTTGCTACCCTTAAAAACGTACCTGTGGGGTCCACAGACATTAAAGGCCACTGGCATTCACCACCTTCAGACTTACTTGTATTCCTGTGACCCTGGTCCCCTGGGACAGAAGCATCTGTGGCCCAGGCTGGCATGTGCTGGCTGGGACGTGCAGTGGACGCCACAGTGCTCTCGCTGTAGATCGTATTTGTAAGAATAACGTCAGACCCTTGGACTTCACCGTCAGTGACCAAAGGTTCACTCCCATTTGATTTAAAATAGGTCTTTTTTAATGTTCCTGAAAGACAAAATATATGTATATATTTTAAAACATTACTAGAATTATCTACTTTTCAAAAACATATCAATAAACTCCAGAGCTACTTTCCCACATGTCACTTTATGCAGGCAATCAAAGAGAAAGGCGATGGCCACCACAGTGACCTCCTTCCTGGGGACAACCAAAAGAATTTCTCTTCTACCCCAAATCGCACAGCCTCGTGATGAAACATTGCTTTCTCAAGAGCTTAAGATTTAAAAACTGAGTCTCCCATCTAGGTTTCCTGGGGCCCAAAGAATTTCGGGCAATTCTGCCTCACCTGGGATTTACCACAAATAAAATGCGGTAAATCTTACAGTGTTTCCTCCCTGGTTTCTCAGTTTCTCAATGTCACTGATCATTGTATGCTAGTTAGAACCCAGGATTCACACTTACATTTCCCCACATATTGCACTAATTTTCAGTAAACTATGCACAACGTATAAATAAAAGTAATAGGACTCATATATTATATTTACCCAGATTTATAGAGACCAAAAACAAGTAAAACTCTACATACAGCACAAAATGAAAGAAGAAACTAAATTATCATCATCCTTGAACAGAAGCTCTAAAACATAATTATATGAAATAAGAAATAGTCATTAAACTAAGATTATCAACTGGTCACTTTCTCAAGGTATCCATTCATTGACAAGATGAAGAGTCAAACCTAAGATTATTGAAAAGCACTAACTTTGTCTTTAGGCAAAGACTTCTGAAAACCTTGAAAGAGATCACGTATTTTTAACGTAATCAAAATACACAGCAGACTGTGTTTCGAGAACATAGCACTGTTAGTCAAGCATGCCACAAAAATAAATGAATGTGCTATTGAGGCATCCGTAGAAATACCCAAGGGAGATTTTCTTTCCTAAAAACATTTACAGTGAATGCTCTAATTGGCTTTCACTTTTCTAAATAGTGCCATGGATCATTAAAAATAAAAGAAATACAAATAAAATGTTTAATATCAGTCTATGGAAAAAATTTCTCTACATGTGCTTGACACTTGGAAAACATTAACTACAAATCAAAATAGAAAAGCAGCTGTTTCTAGCTAAGGTCAAGAGTTTCATCTGCCAAAGGATTCTAAATAAAACATTAGAGTGTCGAAGCTAAATCATGACCATGTGATTCAGGTAACACATTCTCCAAACTGTGCGATTATGGGTAAATATCAAATGCAGCAGGAAAGATGAAGGAATTCACTGAATTGCTTTTGATTTTCAAAATGATTTAGAATTTATCCTAGATCAAAATAAACATGTGATAGGCTCGATCACTATATAAAAAGTATTTCATTCATATAGAAGAACCTACTAATCCATTACATATCATTTTACTTCCATCCATTTGTTAGTTGCTCTCTTGACATAAAGAGATTTTTCATATAAGGTAATATTTACGCTAATATGGCTGTAATGAACATGTAAGGTGCATTAGGTTGATTTACCTATCTTGCTGAATCTATGACTCGGCATCCAACTCTGTCAACATACGTTTAGCAAACACCAATTCCTCACAGTTATATCCCAGAGTAATTCTCTTAAAATGAGTTCCTTATCCTATGAAATATTTCCACAGTTGTTAACATTTTGTTTGTAATGATTAGCCTTATTAATAACCTTTAGAGTTTTAACCTAATCACAGTGGTGAAAGTATTCGTAACATCTTATACCCTAAGAAGTCCTTTGAAACGTTTTTTGTTTGTTTTTTGAAAGAAAATGCCGACTTGGATAACAACTTTCTTTTCAAAAGGGCAGTTTCCTTGCTCTTAAACTCTATGTATCAAAGCAATTTGGCAGAATGGAAAAATAATATACGATAGTTACAGTAGCTAATATTTTTAAAGTGTATTTTTGAGGAAAGGAAGGAGGGAGAGAAAGAGAAAGAGGGAGGGAGAGAGAGAAAGAAAGAGAAGAGAAGCCTAAAGGACCTATCTTTAAAAGCCTGAACTCACTGGACGATTTGTTTTCAAGTATCTCTGGTAATTGACCAACTCCCAGCACAGTTGGTCATCTACTATGCATTTTTTTTTTTTTAACAGCACAAGAAGTACAATTCAACAAGACTAAACACTCTCAATTGGCACCATGATGAGCTATAAAAACGCTAAAAACTGTTAGCCCAAAGTAGAGGATTTATTCTTCTAATGTTGCCCCATCCTTTTGCACATTCCTATTTTTATAGTACTGTGGTTCTTTAGCCTGGCCATCTGGGTTTAAATCCCGTCTCTGTCACTTACTAGTCCTGAAACTGGGCAAAGCTCTCAATAGCCATAGAAGAAGGAAAATAAAACTACCCCCTCATGGAGCTGGCCGTTAGGATCGAATTTGTCAATACATATATCAACACTGGGAACAGCTCTTGGCGCATCCTAAGTTCTCCATCACTGTTAGTCATTACTGCACAATAATGGTAATGCTAGTAAAATTGTCTTCCTTAGGTTGCTAAGGTACTTTTAAATAAACACCAATTTCCTTTTACTGTAAGTGCATCCTGGCATCACAAAATGGCTAATTTTCAAAAGCGAATCACTTAACCCACTTTTGGAGTAAGAGAACTGTGGCTCTTTCATGCTAAGTTATTAATAGAAGGACACATTGTATCTAGGTTGCATGGCTCAAAAGTGTTTCAGCTCTATCACAAAAAACAATTTAACAATGTTTAAGAAATAATCTATAATTCTAATAATAATAGCCAAACTTTACTGATCCCTTATAATGAAGATATTGGGCAGGCACTGTGGTAGGCAGAATAATAATCCCCCAGAAATGCCCACCTCCTGATTCCCAGACCATGTTACTCTACACACCTTACATGGCAAAAGGGATATTGCAGATGTATGTAAGGGGAGAGTCTCAAGATGGGGAAATTATCTTGGATTATTTAGGTGAGTTCAATATAATCACAAAGATCTTTATAAGCAGAAGTGGGAGATAAAAGAGTATATGTCAGAGTCATGAAGTGTGAGCAAGACTCAATGGGACATTGCTTGTTTTGAAGATGGCAGGGACCACAAGCCGAGGAATGCAGGAAGCCCCTAGAAGCTAGAAAATGCAAGGAAACAGATTGTCCCCTAGAGCATCCAGGAGGAACACCTTAATTTTAGCTCAGTGAGACCTATTTTGGACATCCGACCTTCATAACACTAAGATACTAAATGTTGTTTTAAGCTACCAAGTTTGTGATAATTTGAGCAATTTGTTATGGCAGCCATAAGAAACTAACACAGGCAGCTTGCTAAATGCCCTCACTATAGGCATCGACTGAGTTAACCTTCCAACAATCCCAAGAAACAGGTAATGTAATTAACCCTTCTTTAGAGAGTTTTAGAGAGAAGGAAACTAAAGCTTACAGGGTTAATGAACTTGCCCAAGAATTGAGTGGGAACATGACACACAGCCATACACGCATCCACATACACTTTGCACTACAGACAAAGTATTTAGGTCAATTTTTAAAAATCACCGATTATATGCTCATAGAATTTATCTTCCTATGATGTGGTTTTTAAAATTAATTCCTTATCTTTATATCTTTAGCCATGTGTAACACATTGACCTCACATTTTCTATGTGCTAGGAACTTCATACTTATCCTCTGTCGAGAACACAAAATTTAGTAGGAGGTTCTTACCATCAAGATGTTTGTAGAATAGTTGAGGGAGACAGGAATGCAGTCTAAAAAATACAAACCATGCCACAAGGCTGCACGGAACAATCTGGTGGCAGAAAGTAGAGAAATCACCATCATTCCACTTGAGAAAGTCAGACAAGCTTTTTTAGGGGATCATATCCTTGATGGGAATCGTAAAAGATGATTCGGGGTTTTCTAGGTTTGAGCAAAGTGTTTGTGGGGAGGAGGGGTGTGGTGATAGGGAGTGGAGCATTTTTTAGATAGAGCAAAGAGGGGAAGGTATGGAAAAGCCTCGCGCCAGGAGATGAAACGAGGCTAGCACACAGCAGGCTGGTGAGAGACAAGGCTGGAGTGGGAATGGAAGTCAGATGGAAGGATGGGTCTTGTTAAAGGCTTGGAATTTATCTTGTGATGGAAAACTTTTGAAGGGTCTTAAATAGGGTGAAGCATTATTAGAATAATCACTCTGGCCACAGAGTGATGTCTGAAAGTAAAACAATAGTCCAAGCAAGAGAAGAGCAAACAATGCAAAAGCCATGAGGTCAAGGGGGGCATTTCAGAAAGAGCTTTCAGAGGCAAAAATCACGTGGACAGGAGGGAAAGGGTCAAAGGTCTCTCCAAGGTATCTGGTGTGAACAACTGGGTAAATGAAGGTACCCCCAACTGAGATACGTATCAGTGTTCATCGAATATTTTCAATTTTCTTCCCTTCTACCAGGACACATGCTGAGGGTTGTATTCTCTGGTCTCTTGGGTGAGACCTTGCATCAAGTTGAAGGTGATAAGCAAAATTGAAAAGCGTTGTTTCTAGGCAGAAGTGTTTAATTGCTGATGTAAGAGTCTTTAGAGCTCTGGCATAATTAACACCCACAAAGGTTCGAGATGGTGGCTGGTGCATCAGTTTGGTCCTGAAGGACCTCAGTGAGCACAGCCCTCTGCCCCATGTTGCAAAGGACATGCACGTATCATGAGTAATCACTAGTTTTTAAACCACTAGTATTTAACCACTAGTTTTTAAAACCACTAGTATTTGGGGATTTGTTGTTGTCGCTACAAGGCAGAGTCTAGCCAATCCTGACGATGCAATGGATAACAAAAAATGAAAAATAGCTTCGTGGGAGCTTATTTTTGTTGCTGTATACGTATGTTGAGTGTAAAGTGCTTGTGACACATTCAAGAGGGAAAAAAGCCCAAACCTGAAGCAATCTAAAGATTTCCTCCAGAATGCCTTGCTGTTGTGCCCCCAGAGCACACGCTGCTGCTATCACAGCACACATACAATCAAGCGTTCTGTGAACCTGTGTCTCAAGCACCCAGCAGAGCACCTTGCACCAGCG